TCCACAAGTGTGAATTCGCAGAGCACCACTCGAAGAAAGATGGTCACAGGTATGTAACCTACCATTATCTTTCCAAAGGCGTTAACGTTTATGAGATCTATATACTACAAAGCGCCGTCACAATGGAGTAAGTTTTTCCACAATAAGCTGCCAGTGACAGTTAGCATGCTGTAGTTTCCATGTATCCAAAATAACATTGCCTTAGCAGAACCCTTCTCTAAGAGTGGCAGATAGCAGGGATCATATGTTCCGCCCGAGTCAGTGTTACCACCTTGCTATGGAATGTGTTGCTTTGCTTCCAGTGAATCTCTTCCAACCTCACTATGACATTCAAACTGCTCTGCAGTTGAACACTTCGCTTGAAGGTTTTAATACCACACACAGCTGAGTCCTGAGGATTGCTCTTTCTCCATACTATTCTACCGACTGTGGCTTCTTAGACACTTTCTGTTGCAGTTGGATTTTGTCTGTAGCATTTTGAGGATGGCATCCCAAAGCAGAGGGCACTCCTATGCAATTCCAGAGAATGAAGAAGTCTCATACACTCAACAAAATGGGCACAATGACTATGGAAATGAAGGCGAGAGAGCTGTGTCAAAATTGCAGCGTAGGCACAGTGATGTTAAAGTGTACAAAGAGATATGTGACTTTTATGCAAGATTGTAAGTTTACCTCATCAGAGTTGGCTTGTTTCTCAAATGGCTGTTATAATCCTGATTTTTGTTCCAATTGTGGTGAATTAGAATTTATTATAATCCATACATTAACAAGATGCTTACAGTGAAATTGCATTTGAATCATAATATTGTGTTTTTCTAGGCATTTATTTGTTTCTGCATCTAGTAGAAATGCTTTGCAGGATCTTTCACAATGGGTTCCTCTTTTGAAGCATGTGCACAGCTTTTTCACTCCACCTATAAGCGCTAATTACTTACTTGCAGAAGCAAAGATATATGAATGTTTTTTTCTGAGTTACATCAATGTAATCTTATGTAAATCTTCCATTTCATCAGTTGAAATGAAAAATAATCATGCACCACTGTCCTTTCTTATATTTTACCCAGAAGTAAACCCTATGTGAATAGGAGAGTGCTGTTTGTTTACTTGTCATTGGCATTTGGTGGTTGACCATTTGAAAATAGTATGCCAAGCAAGATTGGTCTCATATGGAGAACGGTAGCTACAGCTGTAATTCTGAACACACTGCCAACTAAATAAGTACCAGTGAACACTATGTGATTATGTCTTAGGAAAGAATACATAGCATTATCAAGTTAAATGTGCAAACATTGATAGATATATATATATATATATATATAGAGAGAGAGAGAGAGAGAGGTATAAATATTGCACTCCGAGGCTTGGTTTTGTTTAAGAATTGCTTGAACTGTGGGCTGGGAAGATGGATAGATAGACCATACTGTGGCTTTAGACCAGAGCTTAATTTGCAAGAAGCCAAATGAAGGTTTTGGAATTGCATAATCTTTGCAGGCTAAATGTATATGTCTTACTGGAAAAGGTTATGTGCTGCCCTTCCTGTGACTGTTGTAGTTAGTTTGGCTTTGAACCAGATAAAGAGAAAGAGATTTGGTATTGCAGAAATTCATAGGAATAGAGCAGTGGGGTGGGGGGGGGGGGGGCCTTTGTAGTGCAGCCCTGGACCACAATGACTCCTCCAAACCAACAACACCCTTGGCATATTTGGAGTTCTCTACCCCTAGAAAAATATAGATATCCCCCCCCCCCCCCCCAATGTGAACATGAATGACACTGGCATTTCTGGTCATCAACTGCAGAGCTGGAGTGTGTTCACTCGGGGTAAAGAGATATATTCCCTTAACTGCTGAGAGATACTCATGTGTGCATTCTTCAGGAAAGCTTGGGTATGCAGCTAGCTTGCCAGCACAGTCCAAACCAAATCAAATGGGCTTAAGAGCTGCTTAAGATAAGACCATTTAAACTGGATATATTTCAGAGAGACTTCGGTCTGCGTCATAAGTGACATTTTGGTTAATTAACATAGGGCCACTGACCATGTCTGCATTCTAGATAGTGACATGTGGGAGCATTCCAGGCTTCAATATGCCAGCTAGCCAAAGTGCAGAAATCATTTACTCATTCCAATAAAAAATGCATTTCATCTGCCACACACACACAAGACAGGTGTGTGGGCAAGACATATGCACTATTAGGTGCATACATCTTAGGCGCTATTATATAGGGCAGGTTTGCACAACCTGTGGCCCTCCATATGTTTTTGGCTTCAACTCCCAGAATTTCTGAATATTGAACAAGCTGGCTAGGTTTTTTGGGAGCTGGAGTTCCAAACACCTGGAGGGCCGCAAGTTGTGCAGACCTGGTGTAGACAGAACAAAGGTATGTACAAGAGACCTTCCAACTTAGCCTGTATCTCAGAGTAAGGATGATGAGTGGCAGGAACTAGGCAAGTGTCACACATAAAGCAGCCCCCAGATCCCACTCAAACAAATCATGTACATTAGCTTTTCTCAATCTCATTTTCTAGAAATGCAATACCAGTGGTTCTCAACCGTTGGTCCTCCAGGTGTTTTGGGTTTCAAGTCCCAGAAATCCCAGCCAGCTTTCCAGCTGTTAGGAATTATAAGAGCTGAAGTCCAAAACACATGGAGGACCAAAGGTTGAGAACCCCTGCAGAAGACCAACCCCCCCCCCCCCAATAAGAATGCCAGCACAATGTAGTGGTCTGAGCGTTGGATTATGACTCTGGAGACCAAGGTACTAATCCCTGCTCAGTCATGGAAACTCACTAGGAAGCCTTCAACACCCTCTCAGCATCAGAAGAAGGCCAAAGCAAATCTTGCTATGAAAACTCCATGATAGGTACTCCTTAGGGTCACCATAAGTCATAATTGAAGGCACACAACAACATTCCCAATAACCCTACAGATATCTATGTAATGCTGCAGAAATGTGGCAGTTATAATCAAACACATTAGGAAGGTATTCAGTTAGGAAAACTTCCATTAACCATACAGACAGTACCAAACCTCATGTGGAGCCCAACATATTTGCAGTCTGTAAGATGTGAATGTGTCCATGGACCTTGATATGTGCTCCGCAGCTGCACGGTTTATGGTAATGTTATAAATCGTGGTTGCATTGTGCAGTATCTAGTATTTTCAGCTCTAAAGATGTTGTGGGTAAAGAAAACCCACCACCACCCTGGACAATCACAGACTACCATTGGTTAGTGAGAAATCTTGTCACTGATAAATACAAAAACCTTATTGGCAATACGTTCCACTGAATTAAGAAGACCATGTCAACATATGATGTTCACTGCATGTGATAGGTTTAGAAGTCAGGTCCTTTTTGTTCCCACAAATGAACTAAGTTTTGGGTTTCTATGCTACAGCCTTGGGATAGTGTCCAGAAAGAGGGGACAACGTTCAACTGCATATGGGTGATGTGGAATAAGAGACATTTACCTGGGACTTAGAGCAGAGAACAGGCTCAGTTTCCATTTAATGATGCAGTTTGGTTGCTCAGTGGTTCCCCCCCCCCCCATAAAAATATATTATTCTAGATCACAAAGGAAAAGAAGTTGTAGCAGGCTATACAGGAATAAGATAATTAAAGGTACAAGAGCTTTTGAGTTTTCTCAGAGAGGGCTCAGAAGTTTCTTCAGTAAGAGAAAGATACAATTCAGCCAACTCATCTGACAGCACTTGCTGTCTGGGGACAGTTGGCAAGATGGCAGTTCCTTCTCATTCCTCTCTTGCTCAGGAGCTGATGATCGCAAATTTGACTGGATACTACCTCTATTACCATGGCTACCTTCCCTTCACCACATCCCAGTTGGTTCCTGAAAATTGACTGATTGACATGGAAGCTGGTTTTCTTGAATCTTATGCCCTAGTTTTCATAGACAAAGCTTTATTTGCTACTGGTCTTTGGGGGGGGGGGGGCAGGAAGCTATAAAATCACCCTCTCACTAAAATAAATAGATGCAAACTAATTTCTTGCTGAATTGGAAGCAGTTCCTTTTGACATCAAAATGTGGTCAGCAAAGCTATGCTTCCATGTATAACTTGGTATCTTTTCTGTTACAGCAACATGGCAAATGCTCTTGCAAATGCCATATGTGAGCGATGCCGGGGAGGCTTCGCCCCAGCAGAGAAGATTGTGAACAGCAATGGTGAGCTGTATCATGAACAGTGTTTCGTGTGTGCCCAGTGCTTCCAGCAGTTTCCAGAGGGACTCTTCTATGAGGTTAGTTGCCTAAAGCTATTATTCCTCTGTTTACAATCCACACATATCTGCTGACAGTCACACAGTGCACTTGTGTGTGTGGCCAGAGGCATTCACAAAAATTGTCTCCACGGTGTCTCATGGAGGTTGCTGTTTTGAAATTGTTCTTCTTTACTCAAGACTAAATACAATATATGTTGGTGCTTAACCTGGGTTTAGTCTCAGACCTTGAGCGCTAGATTTGAATGCCAGGGCCCACTTCCACAATAGGGAAAATTAGAATAGGAAAAAATAACATCATGGAGCCCATCCAGATTCCACTTTACAGTATGAACATAGTTCTCTCTAATATATCTGGAGTTCGAGAGAGTTTTTTTCACCAGAACATTCATTTCCTTGGACCAGCATTGTTAAATACCAAACACCACTGCAAAAAAAAAAAAATCAACTTAAAATCCAGAAGTCCATCACTGAATAAAGTAGTCTATATGTAAAGTGATAGCTTACATTTTTTAAAAAAAATATCAAGTGTACTTTTATTTCATGCTTTCTCCAAAGGTATTACACATATCTATTATCTTTCTGATAATCTCACAATGAGTTCAGCTATAACACTGGTATGGATGGAGGAGGTCATTCTGTGTAGTCCATGACTGAGAGCTTTGAATTTAGATCTCTTGGTTCAAATCCAGTACTTTATTCAATGTAACTCACACTGCCAGTGCTTGGAAAGAATCTTTTTTGAGCCACAGATTCCCAAATCCCTTAGTCTGTATGAAAAGAAACTGGCAAATGTAAGAAAATCTCATTTTCCCAAGCTCTGCATATGGCTATATGTAGAGGTGGTCATCTGCCTCCCTCTCCCTTGACCTAGTACACTGCAGTACACAGACGTGTACTGATAACAGATTACTTAAATTAGTAGTGTTGGTGCCGAAGTGTCCAGGACAGAAGTGAAACACAACACTAAAACATGCCAATTAATGTTTGGTGTTCATACCCTAGAAAGTTAAGGGAACATTGGCACACCATTAAGAGATGCCTGGGATGCCCAACATTGCTCTGGGATTTAAGAGAGTGAGACACTATGCTGTTCAAATATCGGTCAACATAGCCTAGACAACATAGCTGCAGCCTAACTCTGCAGCCCGAAGTGCTGCAGAGTTAAATGATAAGCTGCTATTTGGAACAGAGGTGATGTTAACAATCAGTAAAACACAGGCCACATTACATTTTAAACAGGCATTCTGTTTTTAAAGTAGTACATGTTTTTTCTATGCCTGCATTTACTCTACAATAATTTCTCAAGCCTAGAAATGTTCTAGACTTGACAATGACTTCTTTGCAACGTTGGGTATTTCCTGTTTCCAATGGAGAATTCCCTATTTCCAGTGTCAGAACATTTCTTACAACAGCTGCTAATTAAGTTACTTCTCCAGATAATCATTTATCTTAATTTGGCCTCAGTTGTTTGGACTTGGATTTTATCTGAAACCCATCCCCTAATCTTTTAAGAAGCATTGCCTTTTATATATTGTGCTACATCCTGATAACCTCTGTTCCCAGTTTCAACAAAACACAGGTGGGCCTTTAAACACTCTTTGCAAATCATGGAGCTGGAAGGGCATAAACAGGGCCCAAACCAAAACTCCTCAGTCTTTTTACTGTTTGCTCAAATTTTAAAAACGTCTTTTCCAGGTCCTCTGCATTAACACCAAGGGCAAGGCTGGTGATAGAATTTAAATTTAAATTTAATGTTATTGTCATTGTACATTGTACAACAGTATATATCAAATGTTTATTTGTTATATTTATGTGTTCCCATACTTCCACTGAGTTCAACTGGCAATTCTCATTTTATCTACTTAGTCTCATAATGACCCTGTAAAATTGGCCAGAGGAAAAAAAGAGACTGGCCCAAGGTCACTTAGTGAATTTCACAGCTGAGTGAGGATTAGAATGTGGCTTTCCCAAATATACATAACAGTATGTGTTTACATTTTCAGTATTTTCCCATAGAGTCTGTCTGGCTCTCCTTCCTCCTAATAATGAAACAATGAGGCCTTGAATCTGGTTGAGGCTAAAGATGTTTTGCTCATATTGCCTTGTTGTGTTATCTTTCCTAGCTAAGTAGAAGTGCCATTGTTTTTGTACAGCAATAGCTCACCACACTGTGATTTAGGATGGGGACAGGCAACTTATAGCTGATTGTGGGTTATTGGATTGTGATTCTCACCAGCTTTATCTTACAATGGCAGTGGTGACAGAGCAGTGGTTCTCAGCCTGTGGGTCCCCAGATGTTTTAGCCTTCAACTCCCAGAAATCCTAACAGCTGGTAACCTGGTTGGGATTTCTTGGAGTTGTAGACCAAAACTCCTGGGGACCCACAGGTTGAAAACTACTGTGATAGATAATAGGATTTGCAGCCCAGCAACATCTGCAGGAACACAAGCTCTCTCCACCCTGATGAAGAAGCCAGAAAAGCTTGTATGATGTGTGTTGTGCATGATAAAGAAGTTATGTTCCCAAAATGGAATATTATGTATATTTACTTTGCAAGTACCTTTCCTAGTAAGTGCCTTTGAGTATTTCTGTGTAAAACCCAATGTTCTCCTTGTTTTCAAGATGGAACAGGGATATCTAGTTTATTTCATACACAATTGAAAATAACCCATTTTACCATATATTACCACATACTCAAAGCAGGGATTTCAGTTATTGGAAGAAGCCTTTTTTGCCCTTTTGTATAGATTTCTGGCAGGCTCATTCCTGTCTTTACATGTGTATTTCCTGGAGCGTGTCTTCAGGAAATAAGGACAGAATGAAAGAGATGAGTAAGCAGAAAACACTTCCTGTTATCAGCACCAAAACAGGTGTTCATAACCTGGTTTCAGCAAAGCAAACATTAAGATGAGCTGATCTGTGCACAGGTTTTGCATTATTAGAGGTGTGTACAACTAAAAAAAACCTGCTATGTTTGTCTTTAACAAAATTCACCTGCCTTCTGTTTTGATTCTAAAGTGTTTGGGAAAATTCATAAGAGGTCCGTGTCAGATCTATTATGGAGTTTCTAAAATTTCGTTAGTTTTTCATTATATTATGCATCCATTTTCGCCAATGGGGACACTAATGGGGCTCCTCCCTCCCTCGGTTTTAGAGCTATCAGGATGCAACTTGCTACAATTTTTAACAAGAAGACACTTTTATTGATGTTGTTGTGGCTTTTATGATATGTTAATGTTTTAATTGTATTTATGGTGTTGTGGGCATTGAATTTTGCCCTGTAAACCACTTTGAGTAGCCTGTTGGGCTGAGAAAGGTGGCATACAAATACAGGAAATAAATAAATAAATAAATAAATACAATTGTAGTACACATTGGTCACTCTAAGCCCCCCAAGTTTCAGAACATTTTGCTTATCCACTGATTTTTTAGGAATTTTTTTTACAAGCAATACTTCTGAAGGAGACTCAAATTGGCTTACATTAAAAGTATGACCACACACTTTAAAATATACAAATATGCAAACATTAAAACAGAATAAAACATAACAGTATTAAAATTCACAATTAAAATCCACCAACCCACCAACCAAGCTTGAGGTGGAGGTGGGACCGAGAGAAGGGCCTCTCCTGAAGATCTCAGGGCCTGGGCAAGTTCGTACAAGGGATTGTGGTCAGCCAAATAGTGTGGACCTGAACTGTCTAGGCCTTTAAAAGTCTTAACCAGCACTTTGAATTGTTCCTGGAAACAGACTGGCAGCCAGTGGAGCTGCTTCACGGAGGGGTTGTCCGCTCCCTGCAGCCAGCCCCTCTTAGCAACCTGGCTGCAGCTCTTTGGACCAGCTAAAGTTTCAAAGCACCCTTCAGAAGCAGCTCCATGAAGAGCATGGTACAATAATCCACACGGGATATAACTAAGGTGTGTACCACATGGCCAGGTCTGGCTTCTCAAGGACTGGGTACCATTTTAATTGTGCAAAGACCCTTCTGGCCACCACCAACATCTGGCCTCGAGATTCAGTGCTAAGTCCAGGAGGACCCCCAAATGGTGGACTTGTGTCTTCAGGAGGAGTGTGACCCCATCCAGCACAGCTGGATCTGCCTTCCAACTGACCAGGATTACCTCTGTCTTGTCTGATTTAAATTTCAATTTGTTTGCCCTCATCCAGTCCATTACAGCTTCCTTGGCTTTTGGAGGAAAGGAGTAGTAGAGTCGATACATGAGCTGTCTATCCCCATAAATTTCTCTACAACAACACAACATAACAAGGGCATCACTTCCCCCAAATTTCAGAAAGATTAACTAAGTTTTAGGGAATTTTTAAAGTTTTGCCTAATTAAAAAAAAATACCAAGGGAGGTACCCCCTGGAATTTCTCCTCAGTGACAGAAGAGCAGGGATCTTTCAAAAAGTTCCACTCATCCACCAATTTAGGCTGAGGAGAGCATGTGACCTAACAGTTTGCTTGCCTGCCTAGTAGAGTTTGCTTGTGTTGAAAGAATAAGCTAATTCACTGGGACTTACAAGATTCCTCACGGGGAGAGAGGGCAGGTTAAAAATAAAGTTTTTAAAAATTATTTTCTTATGAAAACTACGTATTGGATGTTTTCATTCGTTTGCAGGGGACGGCGCTGCACGGTCTTCATAACATCTCATTCGACTTTCGACTCTCTTACAATTTTTTGCATAGTCCTATGAATTATCCCATCAGAATTTGGCCTTATATGACTTCCTTCCTTGTGTAAAGATTTCTACAAGAGACCATTCCCCTTTGTCTTACAATATTATGTTATTATGTCTGTTATGCAAATATAGCTCTTTTTATAGAAAAATAGATTGGATTGGATCCTTTTCACAATTCAGAATTATACACTATTTTATGTGAGAGATCAAAAGGCTATTCTCTATATTCCCCTAATAGTTTGCTGTGTCTGTTTTTCAGTTTGAAGGAAGGAAGTACTGTGAACATGATTTCCAGATGCTTTTTGCCCCTTGCTGTCACCAGTGTGGTAAGTTTTTGAACAATGTTTTGTAAACATAAAAGAGAAAGCAAAAACATGGTGGTATGATGGCAATGTACCACATAATATTCACTGATGTGTAGTAATGTTGTCATTACATTTTAAACACTTTTCAGTCTCAGATCGTTCCAGTACAGAAGGCATGGATTATCCCAAAGTCAATACTTTAGTATTTTTCATAATTTTAATGCATGAACATCTTCCACAGTATATCACAGCAATCAGGACACATCCTTTTGTCATTCTAAATTGGGCCTGTCCATGGTGGCAGATACAAAGTTGTTCTTAAACCTCTTTAAGTTTCTGTCATTTTAAAGTGAAGTGAGGGTTGGGGGTGAAATCCTTATTTTCAGAGTCGAGATAAGCATGTTTGTTTCCTTCTTCTTATGCCCTTGGGTGAATACATTGATTCAAACCACAGTGAGAAAATTTATATTCCATTTGTCAAGCACAGGCATGCTTTTTCTTCCAAAACCAGGGAAATTCCTATATTAGCACATCAACAGAATGAAATTATGAATTTCACCAATAATTTCCCAGACATAACTAAATAGGATTTTTCTCAGTTAGTGGATTTGTGCACCTGAGAGGCTATGTAACAATGGCTGCATTTTGTTTGCCTTGATTTAGCGAAGATTTAGCGAAAATTCTTTGTGAATTTTCTTTCCTACTTCTGTCAGCATAAGATGAAAATATTTTGTAGCCTGCTATTGTAAGCGGTATTGAGAATACTTGAAGCAGAGCAGTGGATGGTGGCTCTTTTGTATCTAGATTGGTATGCAGTACCCAATGCCAGCCAAGGTGCTTTAGGATATATTGCAGGAAAACTTATAAACACCTCCCCCCATATATAGGAGTAAAAACATAACAGCAGCAAATTCAATAACATAAAACATGTTTCCCTTTAATGAAATTCTGAATCTACCACAATATTTGCATTTCAATATTAAAAGCTTCCTTTTAATGCAAGAGGGGTGGTATATAGCTCAATTCTTTGTATCAAAGTTAGATCACCATTTCCAACAGATAGCATGTTTGGTTTATAGTGTGAATGTGGTCATGAGAATTAAGAATCACAGTCATGGAAAAATAAGGTAAACGTATTGTCGAGGGCTTTCATGGCCAAAATCACTGGGTTGCTTTGAGTTTTCGAGGCTGTATGGCCATGTTCCATAAGCATTCTCTCCTGACGTTTCACCCACATCTATGGCAGGCATCCTCAGAGGTTGTGAGGTCTATTAGAAACTAGGCAAGTGAGATTTCTATATCTGTGGAATGTCCAGGGTAGAGAAAAGTAAGTGTTTAGATCCTTTGCTCAGCAGACAACACATATATTTTCTCCTGCACTTGAGCATTTTAAATCAACCCCCTTTTAAATATCCTTTTGTCTTTGTTAATTTGCAGGAGAATTCATTATTGGCCGTGTGATTAAGGCTATGAACAACAGTTGGCATCCAGAATGCTTCTGCTGCGATATCTGCCAACAGGTACTGGCCGACATTGGATTTGTGAAGAATGCTGGCAGGTAGATGTTTGCTTTTCTTTCATTTTTCTGTTTGGCAAATGTTACTAATGCAATTGCCACTGTTGACACTTTCTGAGTATAATTTCTTTTTGCCTGATATTCCATTATATATTTATATGTGTGTATGAAAATCTTGAATAGCACTGATTTTGACCAAGTGGGCTTTAATCTGTGATAGCACATATGCCATCTTGAAACTGCCACAGAACTATTTTTGCTGCAGTGTAACTGTTTTTCTTGACTGTGACTCTGAATATATTACACTGTCAAAATATGTAGAGTACCTTATTCCTTCTCTTCATTCAGAAGTCGTTGTATGTTTTATGTGGATTTGAGATTATCTCTGCCTTCTTCTTTCTGAATGTGTATTCCAATCTGTCCGTCAGGTTGTTGTTGCAGCCAGAACATTCTTTCTTTTCCCCATCTCACTTCCCATTCCATCATTTCAGATTAAAGCTGTGTTTCTCAAACTGTGCTCCTCCAGGTGTTTTGGACGTCAAGTCCCAGAAACCCCAGCTAGTTTATCAGCTGTGTGGGATTGTGGGAGCTGAATCCAAAACATCTGGGGGAGCACAGTTTGAGAAACTGGCTTAGAGCATTCCTCTGTTGAGAGTTCCTTCATATAATATGAAATATATGTCTCTGTAGTGTACATGCGATATATTCCCTTAATGTTTGCTCGTAGCACATGAGTCTGTAGATAGTGGTCAATTTGTACTTGGAAGCACATTGTAACAAGCAGGATTAGAGAGAGACTAAAGATTCAATTACTTATGATCACGAGAAAACAGAAACAATAAGGAAAATATATTGTCGAAGGCTTTCATGGCTGGAACCACTGGGTTGTTGTTGGTTTTTCAGGCTATATGGCCATGTTCTAGAAGCATTCTCTCCTGACATTTTGCCTGCATCTATGGCAAGCATCCTCAGAGGTTGAGGAGGACCAAGAGATTCCTGAAAAGAATATCTCCTAGATATGTTTTCTCCTAGATAAAAAAAAATCACCTTTTAAAAAATGCATGGTTTTCCCACTTTTGTGAGGGGAATAAAGTCAATAAATTAAAAAAAAAAAGTTGAAGTCCCACTGTACATCTAAAATCAAACTAGGGCCTGAATGAGTCCCCAGCTTGCAACTTTACAAAATGCTATAATATAACAGCTCCCTGGTAGTGCAGTGGGTTAAAGCGCTGAGCTGCTGAACTTGCTCACCGAAAGTTTCATGGTTCAAATCCAGGGAGTGGGGTGAGCTCCCACTGTTAGGCCCAGCTTCTGCCAACCTAGCAGATTGAAAACAAACTGAGTAGATCAATAGGTACTGCCTTGGCGGGAAGGTAATGGTGCTCCATGCAGTCATGCTGGCCACATGACCTTGGAGGTGTCTACAGACAACACTGGCTCTTTGGCTTAGAAATGGAGATGAGCACCACCCCCAGAGTTGGACTCAACTAGACTTAATGTCAGGGGAAACCTTTACTTATAATAGAAAGTTCTGTAGAGTCCTCATGCTTTTGCTTATGCAAGCAGAACATAGTCTTTAGATTTAGGCTTCAGTCCAAGTTGTGAAATGGTTTTTGTGTAGAAGAAGATTCTTTTGAAGAGAGGAATGTTCCACATTCTATTTTTACTCCGAAGTTTCCACAAGTATAGTGTTAGTGATAACATCTCTAAAGATGTGCAAATAACATCCCAAAAATAACTATGTTTTTAATCTGTTCAAGATATTAGAAGATTGTGGTTCCAAGTTACATGATTAGATGATCTTCACACTTCTTTTTGTTACCATTTGGTAGAATAGCCTTCTGAAAATACTGATGCTTTTTGCAAGAGTGAAATCACACATAATCAGGGCTTACATCAAAGATCTTCACAGAAGAGATTTAAGATATATTGAGAGAGGAAGAGAGAGAGAGATAAATCCTAAACTGACTAACAGTAAATTACCCATTTTCCACAAGGTAGAATTGATTTTCCTTATTGATAATTGTTATTTTCTTTCGGATATATAAAACCTGAAACAAAAGCTACCGTGGGGGATTTGTAAAGAAAAAAATGTAGGTTTAAAGTGAGGTTGTGGTTTGAGTGTTGACTAGGATATTGAGATCCCTGCTTAGCCATGAAAAGCTTCTAGGTGTCCTTGAGCGAGTCACACACTCGCAAATCCCATCTGAACAAATTCTGTCAAGAAAAGCCCATAATAGGTTTGTGATAGGCTTGCCTCGCCAAACCTCAGAAATGATTCAAAGTCACACAACAACAAAAAGGAAACATTCATTTACTGTTATTTTCCTTTTGTTCTCTCTTAGACACCTCTGCCGTCCTTGCCACAATCGGGAGAAAGCCAGGGGCCTTGGTAAATACATTTGCCAAAAGTGCCATGCCATCATTGAGGAACAGCCTCTCATCTTTAAGAATGACCCTTACCATCCTGATCACTTCAACTGTGCCAACTGCGGGTAACAGGAACATTTTAAAAGAAAACAAATAATATTTTAAAGGCTTTATTCTCTTTCACAAAACTCCCAGAATATTACACCTGCTGTCTCTTCACATTTCTATTACGACAGAAAGGAACTTACTGCTGAAGCTCGAGAGCTGAAAGGGGAACTGTACTGTTTGCCTTGCCATGACAAAATGGGAGTGCCCATCTGTGGAGCGTGCAGGAGGCCGATTGAAGGGCGAGTGGTGAATGCTATGGGCAAACAGTGGCATGTAGAGGTACATGTATTTTCTTGTCATTTATATTTATTCTCATTTCTACTATGTATTATTTACTATTTTCCAGGAGCCCCCAGTGGCCCAATGAGTTATACCCTTGTGCCAGCAGGACTTCTGACCAATAGATCAGCAGTTTGAATCTGGAGAGAGCGGCTTGAGCTTCTTCTATCAGCTCCAACTCCCCATGCGAGGACATGAGAGAAGCCTCCCACAAAGACGGGAAAACATCAAACATATCTAGGTGCCCTCTGGTCAAGGTCCTTGCAGACGGCCAATTCTCTCACACCAAAAGCGACTTGTAGTTTCTGAAGTTGCTCCTGACACGAAAAAAAACAAACTATTTTCCAGTTTTATTTTCCTTTTTTATTATTTTCATTCATTTATTTTAATCCCTCTCCTGTATTGGCCATTGTTTATATTTAAACTTTTATCAAATTCATTATTATTTATTAAGTGGCACAATATTATTAGAGAATAAGGAAAAATCAGCAAATGTTGACAAAAATGGCAGTAAAATAAGTGCATCATAGCTGTGTTGCAATCACCTCTGACTTTCCTAACCAAAAATCAAAGATAGGCTTTGATTTACCTTGGTTGGGTAGTTTTTTATTTGTTGACATATTTGTTTACGATTTAAAAGAGTTCTACGTTGTAAACAATAAACTAATTTTAAACAAAATAAAAACATAGGTCAAGATACTGTACCGAATATGTGACCATGATGTTGCAGCTACTTTTAACTCCCCATTTGACCCCTGAAACCAACCTTAAAAGCCAGAACAATGGAGGCCTGGGCTGCTAACAAGCAAGGTGCTCCAGGATGTTGTGACCAGTCCCTTCAGCTACCATGGGACACTACAGTGACGAACTGTGATCAGTTCCTGTGGGGTCTCTGCTTTTGTTCCTTGTAGCCTGACCTGCTTGTGGGAGGGAGCTGGCTGCATTTATTATTATAAGCAGCAGAACAAACATCTGTCGCTTCAGTGGCTACCTGGCATTAAAGTGGCTTTCAGGATCATTTACAGTCACAACAAAAATGGAATGATTAGAAATAACCACATTAAATAAGTTAAGCTAGAACAACATTGTTGTAAGGGTACAACAATGTAATGTCTATTTAGGCATATATGACTGAAGGAAAGGATTGAAGAATAAGAAGGAGATTTTCCCAAAAGAATAAATATAGCATTCTCCAGTGTAGTATGTTAAGAAGAAGAAGTTGCTTACCTTTAAGTGTGATTCTTCAAGTGGTCATCTCTGTTCTCACACAAGACAGAATCCCAAATGCATTCTATCTTTCAACAGATCGTAGAAGGAAATTGGAATTGAAAATGAATTGTCGGTGTAGTGGGAGAGGGGTAATGACCAATTAAGGTCTCTACACAGGAATCATGAAGAAAAAGCTAATAATATGCCCCGAACAACAAAATATAGTATATGGATATATACTTTTGATGCAATTACAGAAAGTCTTCAATACAATAACAAAAAAATAAAGATAACCGGCACTACTTTCTCCTTTCTAGCATTTTGTTTGTGCAAAGTGTGAAAAACCATTCCTAGGCCACCGTCACTATGAGAGGAAGGGATTGGCATATTGTGAAACACATTATAATCAGGTATGATTGCATTTTATGTGGCATAATTATCTTGAGAGATATTTTTAGTATGCTACTTTTAAAATTTCCATTCTGCTTTTTAAATACTTGTAAATCAGGCTCATGTGAAAAAGTAGTAACTTGTTTTCAACATGTAAAATGAATGTATTTTAATGAGCATAGACCAGCACTCTTTTATTGTCCACTGCTTGGTGTCATTGCTGAGAACATGAGTGTAGGAGCTGCCAGGTGGGGTCTATGGCTTCCCTGGTGGGGAAGATCAGATGTTTTACTGCACTGTCATTGCTATTCAGTGCAGATAATACCGAACTATGGGCCAATAGCCTTCCACAGCAAAAAACAAGCCCATTTCTATATATTTGTTTCAAAAATGTCTTGACAACTCAAATCTCACTTGGGTGCAGTATAATGTCATCCCTGAATGGGATTCAGACAAGCCTACATCATGGCAGGTGAGGAAGAGAACACTTGGCAATTGGTTCAGTGTGGAATCCCTGTTGAGCTTGGGCCTTAACTCTTACACACACGATTGCAAATTCAAACACCTGCAGAATCTTCCTTTAAAATAAAATCATAATATGCAAACTGCTTTGCTAAGAAGCTCATAGAAGTAAAAAAAAATGCTTTAAAATGGAAATGATACACAAATCACACATTAATCTGAAGATACTGCTTGGATATAGTCTTTACTTTTCAGAAAATAATTTTTCTGAAATCTCTAGTCTTCTGTTATTGTTTTCAACTCAACATCTCTAAAGTTGATGGCTCTGCAATAAACTGAGCTTAATTCTTTATTGGAAACACTCAGGGAAACAATCTCCAAACTAACCTAAACAGATTTTTTCCCCGGTTTGCACTGCCTCACAGATTTTTGACAGATGCAAAGCAGCAGTGACAGTTGCAATTGATTGAAAATAACTGTTCCTAAGAAGTGGTTTAGTCTAATCATACTGGTCTACAAAAACAAGCATGCTATAATCATTTAATAAGTAACACTGCAATCTCTAATCCTCCAGCATTGGTGAAGACGGTTACACACTCACCAAATAAAATTCTGTGAATCTAGCAGGACAGTTTCATATAGGTTTATGTGGAAACTTCTTCAGACAGAAAAAAGTTTCACATGTAAAGTTTGCATATATCATTTGAATAATAAGGCACATTTTGATGTGTTCAGCTGCTTATTTTCATTTTTAAATGATCTGTGGATAGATTCCTAACTTAGACATATTTTCTATTTCCACAGCTCTTTGGTGATGTTTGCTTCCACTGTAACCGTGTGATTGAAGGAGATGGTGAGTTCCCATAGATATTCTTGTTTCATCTTTTCAGTAAAAAAGCACTTTACAAAGGATGTCTAAGAAAGGAAATGTTTCTTGTATGGAACCATAAAGAGCTGGTAAAGCTTATTTCAAAAATTAGATATCTCAAAATATTGATGGTGGTAAAACTAACCTGGAATAGTTATGATCATTTATCTCACACCTTTATTTTAGAGCAGTGATACCCTGATTGCCAATCCAGGCTGTCAGGTTCAAGACTTGCAGTTCTACCCAAGCTATAAGTTTTTGTAGAACATTGAAAATTAGGAGGGGGAATGAAACATGTAATGCCTATCTGTATCCTTCTGTGTCCCTTCCAAAGGTGGAAAATTTGGAGGAAGGCCTTGTCAACTCTGGCAACCCAATTATGGAAGGAACTTCCTTTGGCTGTCTAAATGGCGCAAAAGTTGTTCTCTTTCTGGCACCAAGCCAAAACCTGGCTTTTGCAATGGGGATTAATTTATTTTAAATTATGAATTTAAAAGCATATAAAGTGATTTTAATTTTTGCTTTACTATGTTTTTAGGTTTTTAAAAAATATATTATTTTAATCTGCAGGTATTTTAATTTATTTATTTATTTATTACGGTTGCTTATACCCCGCCCTTCTCACCCGGGGGGACTCAGGGCGGCTTGCACAAACAAGGCACAATTCGATGCCTGTATTACAAAAACATAACATCAAAAACATAACATCAATAACAACAATAATTATAACACTGATAACAATTAACGTAAACAATCAATATTATCAGCAGGAATAGCCATAAACCCGTAAAAACAATTAAAACAATAAAAGCAATACAAACCTCATTGCTGGTCAGCGTTTAACCGACTCATAGTTAGGTTCTACTTTCCACACATTGTTGGTCCTATCATTCTGGTTCCATGTCTAATTGTCAGGGTGCCCAAAGGCCTGGTCCCAGAGCCACGTCTTTACCTTCCTCCTGAAGGCAAGGAGGGAAGTTGAAGCCCTGATTTCCCCTGGGAAATTATTTTATTGTACACAACTCTTGAGATTCCATGTTAAAGCTTTTAATAATTATTATAGTAAGATGGTGTCAAGGTTACAGTCTGAATACTGCTGCCATATGGACATAGTACTTGCATTGACACATTAAATAATAGGAAAGATCAGCTAAAGGTGGGTCTAGCAGCCAAATTTTAGTGACCTCAGTGTCTAGCTGAAATGCCTAAACAATAACCACCACAACAAATGGTCAGAGGATTGCTGTGAGTTTTCCGGGTTGTATGGCCATGTTCCAGAAGCATTATCTCCTGACGTTTTGCCCACATCTATAGCAGGCATCCTCAGAGGTTGTGAGGTCTGTTAGAAACTAAGCAAGTGAGGTTTATATATGATGGTCAGAAGTTTAGTGGTCAGAAATTTAGTTTTGGTTGTGAAAAATTCAGATTGTCTTTGTAATCTCAGCTAGTGTTGAGGAAGACTCTGTCCAATTTTAAAAAAAGAATCGCCACATTTGGAAGCTTGTATGAGAGGCAATTCACAATTTTTGCCAGAAAAACAGTACAGTGAAAACAAGCACGATTTGCTCATTTCTGCTGTAGAAAATTAAAATGTAAAATCCCATCATTAAGACACTAGAGTTCTTTTATGCATTGGCAACTGTACTCCATAATCCAGACAATTTATATGTGTCCATGGCAGGCCCACTTCATGACTGGAGCAGAGTTACTGTACATACAGAATGCAGAAACAGCAACATCACTCACTATGACAGGCTGGTGCATGCTATCCATTATTACTACCAAAATCCCACTAATTTTCTTTCATTCTGTTGGATTGTGGACAATTAATGGCAGCTTTCCAGCCACCTGCTGCTTGGCTAATCTGCGATCCAGAGAATGGAAGTGGTTAGAAAGTTTGGGCCATAGCTTCAATATCCACACAAGGTGGGAAAGAGCTGAAATTGTGTAAATGTTATAAGTGTTAAGCATGGTACCAAAACCAAAAATTCTGCTGTTAAATTTTTGTGCAGATCTTGTTTCAAGCAACGTACAATGATTTGGAAAAATTTGTATCTGACTTTTGAGATATTACTATGATAATATATGCTGTGACATAATAATGGTAAAAGTAAACAACTGCTGTTAGCAATGGCGTCTAGCTAATCCTGTTACTTCTCTTTCATAGTGGTTTCTGCCTTGAATAAGGCTTGGTGTGTGAACTGCTTTGCATGTTCTACTTGCAACACAAAGTTAACGCTCAAGTAAGTAATTGTTTGTGATTCTGAAGGATAATGTGATGCTTCTGGGAACGGCTGTTGGACTGCATTTTCCAGTATTCCTTTCCATTGCTTTATGCTAGCTAGGCTTGATGGAACTTGTAGTCCCACAATATTTGAAGAGCTGCCTGATTCCACCCCAGCACACAATAAAGGCTTGCCCTTTTTGAAGCAGACATTGGTTGCTTGTTCAGCAGGATGACCAGTTTACATCCTTCACTCCAATCCAGAACAATCTAGTACAGAACTTTAAATAACGTCTGTATCCTATTGCTTTTATGCCTTTATATAGACTAATATAAGCAGTATGGGGTCACAGCTTCAAGATGATTACACACTACCATGAATTCTGTTAAGATCCACATTTGGAAGAAGGATGCTCCGACTTAAGTAGAATTAAAGACTATATGCTGTGTACACACTCCAAAATTGGTACACCATATACATATGTTTTGTATAATACAAAAAGATGTGCACTCTCTTTTTCCCCTAGCCTATTTTACATTTGGCCACTGCCACTTTTCATTTTCCACAGTATATGCAAGTAGGGGTTGTAAGAGTGTTTCATTCATTATGCATCTGAAGTGTATATAGCATACGTTTTATGCCAATGTAGCACATGAAGCTGTGTTTATGAACATTAGCAGTGTACATGCATAGGAAAGCAATTGATGGCTTTCCTGTTCTGTGGTAACAAAGCCATGTTTCAGTGTCAGTCAAAGGGCAGGAATCATTTCCCATTACTATTTGCTGTTTTCACTTCATTTCTGTTTTCTGCTGAATTCTGTTCTTCTACTTGACTTGACTCTTGATGCTTTCCTGTTCTCCCAACTGTTTCTTCTTTGCTTTATCTGAAAGGGACAAGTTTGTTGAAATCGATCTTAAACCTGTGTGCAAACACTGTTATGAGAAAATGCCAGAAGAGTTTAAGCGGAGACTTGCCAAACGGGAGCGTGAACAAAAGGAAAAGGACAAACATAAAAAGAAAAAGCCAGTTTGCCTGTAAACATTTCATTCCTGTCTTCTACTTTCTCTGCTCCTTCCTTTCTTTTGGTCAGTTTGAAGGAAAAGCTTTTCTTTTAGATGTTGTGGTGTGCATGCAAATGTGATCATAATAAAGTTTCATTCTCAATATCTAAAGGCATTTTAGAGGAGTAAGGTATGGGATGCATCCTGCATGCATGGTAGTGTGTATATATATATATATATATATATATATATATATCAAAGAGTTCAATCACAACTTCAAGCAGGAATGTGAGAAATTTCCAGAGAGGTTTGCCTTGTTAAATTTGATTGCCTTGTTCATAGACTTTTAAGGGAATCCAACGTCATCACCTTTCAGTTATAGCTTCCTTTGTTTTCCCAGTTTTTTCAGTCTGTTTTGCTTTCCAGAGAAAAACCAGTTAAGAAGGAAAAGATGCAGTGGCTGCATTATACTTTTGGAGTAGTAATGCTTGGATTTGCCTGTTGCAAAAATTACTGGTCACGGTCTAATAGTATATTTCAATATCCAATGCCATTATAAATTGTGGTTTCCTCCTCTTCCCTGCAGCTCTCTTGGTACCAAAATATATTTCAGGGTGTAAGCGGAACTGCAGAAGGGAAAATGGATCACCTTTTCTAACAGAACAACAGGATCCCAAAAGATCCCAATTTCAGATCCTGATCTCCACATCTCTCTTGACAAAACAGTAGATGTTAGCATAAATGTGCTCATTTTAAAAGAGACATCTCAAAACAAATTGCTGGGAACTAAAAGACCACGTCGACATGTATTTTTCAGCAATTTGGGGGGCATTTGTGCACTAATAACAATGTCTTTATGTTTATAAACTTCCAAAAACGACAGTAGTGTAATTTATACTGAATTGTAGAGATTAGTTTTAATTTATTGTTAGCTAATTGTATACATGTATGGATTTTATTTGTATCTGTTAAGACACCTATTTTTCCTTTCCAGAAACAAGTTTGTGGAATTTGATATGAAGCCTGTCTGTAAGAAGTGCTATGAGAAGTTCCCACTGGAACTCAAGAAGAGACTAAAGAAATTGGCTGAAACTTTGGGAAGAAAGTGAAACCCTCTGCTTCTAGACCTCCTCTTGCTATGCAACATGTAGGAACTTGTATTGATGTAAACAGACTTACTTTTGTTGAGTCTATCAAACATTAACTCAGAAGAAAAGTATTCCTCAGCATGTCTAGCTATACACTAATACATTTGCCTCACTTTGAAAATATACCTCTAAAACACTTTCACGTTAAGGTTTGGAAACATGTGGCTCTCCATATGTAATTGGATTGCTACAGCCATCAGTCTTAGTGATCATTGCAAATATTAAGGTGTTTACAGTCTAGAAATATATAGAAGCCACATGTTCCATAACCATGCTTTTCATCTTAAGCAAGCTCATATTCAACCATTTAAATAATGTATCTTACACCTATATGGCTTTATAGATATATAAAAACATACATCCCTTGTATTTGCTTAGCAGATAGTGGATGAAAAAAATAGTGGACACTGGGAATGAAGTATAAGATTTCCCTTGACAAAAAGACCAAATCATTATAAACTGAATTCCAACGATATTTGTCTAATTATTGTCAGCTGGAGAAAAATGTAGCAGAACCAAAATGAAGTAGAAATACATCCAGCATTATGCTGGCTCCCGACTGTCAGTATGACATAACTTTCTTCTTTTGATCTCTGAAAATGGGCTCAAGGAAGTTTGGTGATACATTGAAGCAGTTACCATATGAACCCGACTAAATCCTCTTACCAGAAACCAACCTATCATTGGATCCTAGCAGGAGAGTATGCTTCATTTGGGACTGGAATCTTATAGACAATTATTTGGTGGTTAGTCATAGGTTTATCTCAAGGAGTGCCCTGTTCAGTGCCAACAAAATATTAATTGAATCATGGCCAAATGATTGCTTATCAGTACATATATATGCATTTGTTTTAAACACTCTTCTATTCAATATTAAAAGTTGAGTGTATTCTAACAGGGCTGTTCTGCTGTAAATGAGAACTTAGGAATGCTTCTAACTGCTAAGCATACTAAGCAATGTGTTCTGAACTGGCCAGTCTTAATGTTAAAATTTTTGAGAACAGTTATGAGATTTTTTGAAAAATTAGTTCTGGTTATACAGTTTATTGTTTGTGAACTAATGGGAATCAACAACTACCATATTTAATCATCTAATGCGCTATTGAATATAATAAGCATCTCAATTTTCAAAACCTTGAAACCCAAAAAAGTATTTGCTGCTGAATTTTCAGCAGAAAAAGGTGCATTATTTTAATATGCCCATTCCAGTTGCTGCCTGCTTAGAATTCCTTCTTTAAAAGCAAAAGTGTTAGAACACCAAAACTTCCAGCAGTGGAAAAGACAAGTTCGTGTTCTAAAAGGAGGCCTTTTTAAAGCTTATTGAAAAGAATTCAATATATCTGAATTTTGGAGATCCTAAGATTTTTAACACCTTGGATATGAATTTTAAAGAAGCCTTATTTGCCAATTCTTTGCAGAGATTAATAACTTTTTAACTGACTAGTATACACAAGAGTGGAGAGTGCAGTTCTCACATAATTGGAACACAATGACTCCAGAATGCATCATTTGAAGATGGCAAATCAACCCAGAAAATGGCAACAGAGTCCTGTGTATCTAAAATATATATAAACACAGAGCTACTTGAATATTATGGGAATTTTTCTGTATAACAGATACATATTCCTGTGTGCTTTTGTATTTCATTTCCTTCTTGTGCCTTATTCTGCCATATGTATGCAATATTAGCCAAAATAGCTATATACCGTTACCTTGTATTTTTATGCAGTCCATTCATGCCAAGGCCTTTCAAATGATATGGCATATACTCAACCTTTTCAATGTCAATATTTTTAATGATAAAAGATAATTTTCGAAGCTAATTTCCTTTTTATTTTCTCAATTCACTTATTCCAGAATAGTACACAAAATAAAAATCTGAACGTGTACAGATTCCGACTGAGAGTGTTGTGTGTTAATTGGTTAATAAAATATAATTATTTCAGCTTCTTTCTTTGCTGGCTAGAGATTACATATAAGTAACTACAGTCCTCCATATATGCCATATACCAGTCTTTATCTTCTTGCCCATTAATCATGATGACCATATCTAAGAAACCAGAGCTGGTGCGGTCTATCCAACTCACAACCTTGTGCATTTTCCTGCAGGAATCAGTTGTTTATCCCACATAAGGAATTTTTGGTTTAGAGATTTACATTATGTATCTTTGTTAAATATACTTTGCTTAGTACATTGAATGCTGGAGTACCATAGCATAGATATGCTATACATCCTTATGATTATATAACAGTATTACTTTTGGTGTATAGTGGCTTTTTGCTCTTTGTATTGCGGTCTATCCAATGCCATTTTCTGAATCAGAGCCCCAAATTACCGTAGGAATAAGTCCCAAGACCAAAGTGTTCATGGAATTTACTTCCAAATAATTGTATATAGGATTTCAAAGCTGAACTCAGTGGGAATAAACATGTGGGATTGTATTGTCATAAATTTGATTTTGCTACAAAATTACAAAGGAATGACAAATCTCATTCATAAATTAGTTTCAAATTTATAATTATGCTGACCTGATGGTTCATCAAGGTCCATCAGGAGAGGCAGATAAGAAATAAAATTATTATCATTACTATTGTCATCATCATATCATCATCATCACAATAGAAACAGTATCCAAAAATGATGTGGTGGTATAATAATAGCAATACTGTGTATAAAAACATTTTAAATATGTATTTAGTTACAATATTTTTATTCTGCCCTTCTCACCCTGAAGGGGACTAAGGGTGGATCATAGAAAACATATATATGGCAAACATTCAGTGCCAATTATAACAATGACAAGACAGGCAACAGATAGACGTATAGATGGGCTTTCCCATCTTCCAGCATCTTTGGACGCTGTGCTTGGTTCTGCTGTCGCTCCACCTCCCTGCCTCCCTGTTTAGAACTGGGTCTAAGCATTCATATCATAAATCTTGGTTTCAAAATTATACCTATCCCCAAAACTCCCAAACTATGCTATTAACTCTTCTACTACATATTATGCTGTTTCCTTGACAGTCAGGGAAACAGCAATAGTCTGGATGACCTATTTCACCAGTGGCCTTGGTAATGTCAATCCCCAGATATAAATTCCTCAGTGTCCTTTAGGCAATGTTCTTGCAGACGGCCAATTTTCTCACACCAGAAGCGACTTGCAGTTTCTCAAGTCACTCCTGACACGATAAAAAAAAAATCCCTGTCACGGGCTCTGTAATGTACCCACACGATAAAAAAAATCCCTCAATCACAGGCTCTGTAATGTACCCACACGATAAAAAAAATCCCTCAATCACAGGCTCTGTAATGTACCCACAAGCTTTGTAAGCTCCTCAACGCCCAATCTCAATAATAACAGAACATACCTTGGGTCAAGAATCTACCGAAAATAAAGTTGTGATGATATAAAACCGAAGACCGCTTTCTGGTGATCAGAGGTGAGACCAAGTTCTTACTTTATTTGGAAATTCATCATTCTTGGGTTAATGATAACACTAGCCAACACACATTTTGATGCCTCAAATGTTAGGCCTGTTTCAGGACATATTTGGCCTGCTGATTCAAAAGCTGGCATCAGTTTCCCCCTCTCAGCTCAAGTTTTTGAGATACAGAACACATGCTATATATCAGCTTTTATCTGCTCGCCTATGAGAAATCATGGTAACCATATCTAAGAAACTAGAGCTGATGTGTTCTATCCAATGCCATTTTCTGAATCAATGCCCCAAATAATCCCAGAAACAGGCCAAAAAATGAAGTTACAATACTTTTTTTGTGTTGGTCTGTCTTACGGGTGCATCTACATTGTAGAATTAATGCAGTTTGACACCGGTTTAGCTGCCATGGCATGCAATCATGGGAATTGTATTTGGTGAGGCGCCAGGACTGTGCAACAGTTCCCCCGATTCTGTAGCATAGTTAAGGTTCTGTCATGCTTCATTAATTATACACCCTATGTGTATGTGTTTTCATACACTCAAATAATTTAAATAATTTGTATAAAGCGACCCTCAAGCTATGTGAATCAGATATGAAACATTAACAAATTTCGCATTTAGACTTGGGTCTCATTTTCAAAATATGCCATTATATGCAAATACTGGTTCAGGCATGTGGGGGGGGGG